TGTCTGGTGATAAATGATCACTATCCGTACCTCATGACTCTGATGGATCAATCGCTTTGACAGAACTGCCACTAGTCGACAGATTGTCAACTGATCTGAAACACGATAGATCCCAACCGTTGCAATGCTTACTCAAGACGAGATAGAACAACACAATACGAACCATGTGCTTCAGCAGAAAAAGTGCAATGAATCAGTCTAGTTCTCAATAGAAGTTTCTGGAAACAGGATACTCTGAAAGGGAAGCAGTGGGATTTACGTAAACCAATAGTGAATGCAACGTCCATCAAATCGACAGTAGACTTGTCCTGAAGCAGATTACAAATTTTTATAGTACGCGTTCTTCTTGAGTTCTTGAGTTGCCAAATCTTGTCCTTTTGTAGTTGCTCGTGTCGTTGAGAACTCGATAGCCTACACGACTCGCCTAATTTAACTGGATAACCTGGGAAGTTTACTAAGACGTCTTATATTGAGTAGCATGTGGAATATGAGGGAGGAGAAGGAATATAAAATCAAGGATGGGAAGGATAAGGAGGTCGGATAAATGTCCGATGTAACGTTCAGCATGCTGGGAGGAAAAAGTGCTGATGACGAGCAACTCCGCTTATGCCTCTTTCGAGTCCAGATAAGACAATGCCGTGCAGAAGCACAGGAGTGGCAGAAATGATACCACTGACGCGCAGAGCAAGGCGACTGGGTGTTTAGTTTAGAAATGCTGATACGTGTGATAGAGTGCTGATACGTGTGCAGCTGGCTTGGAAGTTGCGTTTTTGTTGCACGTATCCGTTCAAATGGATGATGGCTCTGTCCACCAGTCCTCTTTTTCCATGCTGTCTCGTAACTTTAAGAGTTTGACTATTCGTCTTTTGCTGCCCCTGCCCATTTATTCCCTGGATCCCGAAGGAAATGTAAATTTTCTGATGTTAGCTCTGCTTACTCAATTAAAAGCTTCGGGTATCTTTCCTAGTCCGTATTCTTTCTTCTCTGACCGTCATGGCTGCTTGAAATTTTTGGATGGCTTTTAGTTTTCAATTGCGCTCACCTCGGCATCCTTTACACTTATCATAAACGTCTGAATTACGCTCTTTTGCTTATTTTTGTTAACACGCATTCTCTAGTAGTTGAAAGATGTAAATTTTTGTATTAGGCGCCCTCCATTCGTTAGCCCGACGCCCTTCACACGTTTCGTTTTTAATTTTCTGCTTGCTGACATCACAATCCATCCCAATCGTCACCCATCCGTCGCAGATCGTTTTTCATATAACGCTAAAAACACAAAGCTATCGCTCCCTATGCGATAAGGAGGTTCCTGTCAAGACCAAGCCTTTTCAAACTGCAGCTCGATTTTGGGTTCATTCTTTGATGCTTCAGGTGCAGCAGCCATCGATTGGTTTTCACATGAAGGAGAAGAGCGGCGTGAAGACAACTATGATGCCGCAATGACCATTGCTCATACATCGATAGGTATAACAACTGATTTGGTCCTGATAATATTTATTTATTTAACACAATGTTTAGGCCTACGGTGCATATTTAATGTGACAATGTTGAATGGTCGTACTAGGAACTTGTTTTCCATATGGGATTAATTGTAGGCATCCAATTACATGTAACTCATTAAGTGTGTCTATAGGTGTGTCGACGTTTTTATTTGCTTGTTCGTGTGTAACTATATGTGATAGGGAGCGTAAGAAAGCTGCTGGATTCGTTTTCCGTTCGGGTTTGTAGGTGATGGAGCACAACCGTGAGCTTCGTTATACTATGAAAGCTCTTGACTGTATAGCGAAGAGCTGACGTTCATAGTTTCAAAAATTTTTTGAGGGCATTTGCTAAAGCGTAACTCTGCGACACTTATAATCATATTTTTGGTGACTAGTACCCAACATAGAAATAAAACGGTGAGGACCCGAGTGTCTCAGAGCCTAGTAGGAACAATGATGGAAATTTTGCGTTGGTATGTACAGGATCAGCAGCCCAGCAGATAAGTTTCAAGCACTACTATCAGATTCACCACCGTGAATAACCCCCACTCACGGACACTTTGAACCAACTCCTGCCATACCATTTTTATAAATAACTTCTGCATTTTGCGCTGTCTCATGAGTTTAAGATCACTTTGGGAATTTAAAAAAATTATGATTAGTAGTAGTCGATGGATCTTCCTTGTTCTAGCCCAACATCGAATAGACTACATGTCATACTCAGAACAAGGTTTCGAATGGCCTTGCCGGAGATTTCATTTCATGATCCAAGTACTGCCTGCTTGAGCTCTTCTATCGTCTGGAACTGACGGTTGTTCGCATAAATCGATGCCTCACAGATTCTCCATCAGGTTCAAATCGGGCCTGCAAGCTGGCCATGTCAGAACTTCGAAATCTGGGGCAGGAACCAGTCTTCCATGGAATGACTAACTTGGATCGCAGCACTGTTCTGTTGAAAAAAGTAGTTAGGACCACGTCGCCGGCTAATAAATTCTGATGCCATTTATCGTAAGACTTCCTGAAAGTCCTTGGAGTCCACTTCGGAGGTCACGAGAGCAAGCTCCAGCACGACATCTTTCCAGAAGGCACCCCGTACCATGACCTTCCTCTTCCAAAATTGCAACGACTAGTGTCGATCGGCTCCTTTCATAAGTCGTGCCAGAAGTTGTTGTAACCATTGGGACCTCCCGATTTCACTTCCTTTTCACGAAAAAACGACCTGAACGAGAATATTGGACTGTATGGCTAATCGGTAAAACAGGTGGTTTCGTCCAATCTCATCCCAAATACAACCTCGAAAACTCAAGTCGTGCCTTCCTGTGGTGGTCGATAAGCCTTCGAGCCCCCTTCATTGTTGCCCTTACAATGCTGCTGCTGTTTTTCACGGCTCTCTATTCAGTATTTTTGGACACCGAGAGGCCAGACTCGAACTTTATTCAGGGACAAGATTTTGTCGGTAATAGTTTTTAGCATTCTCCTTTCGTCGCTCGCGGTTAGCTTACGCGGAGTCTTCATGTGGCTCTGTAGTCCCTAGAAATCTTCAAACGGAGCTGAGGGATCTCATGAATCTCCTCCTAATTGCCCTCGTACTGAACCCTCTATCACGGAAATCTCGATTTTGTTCTTTTTCTCCTAAATAAAAATGTCCTCCACGAGGCAAACCGCATATCGCTTCCAAACATATAATATTTGCGACACTTTCCTTTATAGCTCCCTCCGATGCAAACTGTGCTGCACTAGATTTCGAAATCTTCGCGCTGTCAGAGGTGATCCTTTACTTATGAAACGGTAAAAAATCGAAATGATATAAAAGTTGAGCAAGCCAAGCAGGTATTTTGGTGTTATTGAAGGTGATGAAACTAATGGTGGTACGAGAAGACATGTGCTCGGCTGCTTATCTTGTAAGTATCAAATCTGAGGGTGGTCTTATAATTATGAAACACGCTGTATCATCGAGACTGTGGACAGATTTTGCTCCGACTGAATTTGCTGTCGCTCAAATACCTCTCAAGCTGTGAGGACATCTAGGAAAATCGAAACCTCCTTGCGCGGCAGAGTAGAGAATGGTAATGATCGATTATGACGGTTTCTTTTTCATAGACTGGCGGCAATTGTGGCACATGAAGACTTGCCCTTAAGGCTTCTTGAAGCGATTGCTGTCTATCAGAATAGGGATATTGGAGACCCTGAGAAAATTGAAGATTGATGTGCGTTGCCTTACGTTTTATTACGAGATTATTAGATGTGGTCAACTTGCAGTGGAAGCAGAGTGAAGGTAACGGTCGTGATTGGTCAGTGGCCATTTGTTGAGAGCAATGCAGTGATGATGTGGTGAGTGAGTGGTGATGTGCTCCTCTCCGAAGCTATCCTTCTTTACTATATATAAAGCACAAGTTTGGTGTTTGTTTGTCGGTCCGTTTATCTTTCTGTCGTCGCAAATTTCGGTATCATCGGGAGAAGCAGCTGTAGAGATCGGGTCAAATCTGGATTGGGGGAGCCTAGGGCAAGACGGCAAGACAGACCCAGGAAACAGAGCACATACGAGCCCAGTGGAACCCTGCCCGCTGGGGCGGGTCTGCACCGGAATGGGTGGTGCTCAAAGAGGAACCACTTATTTTGGCTTGAGGAAAGCCCAGACACCAGGAAAAAATGAGCAAAGGTCAGGAATGGGTCAAAAGCCATATAATGGAGACCTACCTTTTGCAAGTGGGGCGTTCTTAAAGTGGGCGGTACTTCCTACATGGATTCATAATTCGGTAAAACGAAGGTATGGAGGCCAGAGAAGAATATAGAGTGAATGAGCAGGGCCTAATATGCTGAGCATGCTTAACATTAGCGAAGCTCCTCGCCTTATGAGCGGGATGTGTATTCGAATGAGAGGTACTTTTGAAAAGCATGCATAAGTCGGTTCAAAAACGTTCTAGAGAGCGGACAACAAGTAGTAAGGGGCTATTAGAAAAATGTGGTAAAATCCTTGAAGTGGGTGGGGTTTACACTAGAATGGGTAGGGCTAAAATCAAAAACTCTCAACCCTGTTCAAAAATTCTCTACAACGCAGGAAAAAATTCCTAGAAGTTGTAGAATAGATGTCAAATCTACAGCAGGGCGGAGTCTACACTGAGGCGGGCGGGGATAGGATCGAGCATTCATAACTCTGTCCACAAAGGTTCTGGAGGAGAGAAAAAGTAGTTGGAGGGTATAAAGGAAATTTTTCCTGAGCGATTTTTGCACTAGGGTGGGCGGAGGTGGAGTCAAAATTCATAAATCCGTTCAAAATTGTTCCACAACGCGAAAAAAAGTCGTTAGAGGTTGTGGAAGAAATTTCGCCAATTTCTCAAAGCGGGAAGGTGTTGCCCTAGCGCGGGCGGGCCAGGATCAAAAATTCATGACTATGTACAAAAATTCATAGAGAAAAAAGGGTCAGAGGCCACACGAAATATAGTCGGATCCCCGATACGGGCAGGATTTGTGGAGGGGGGGGGGAGGGTGGCCGTTGGGACCAGAAATCCATGAATCTCTTTAAAATGTTTTACAACATGGGAAAAAATGATTAGAGACTACAGAAAGGGTGTGATCAAAACTCAGGAGGAGGAAGGGAGAAAGGTTCGCAACGCAGTGGAGAAGACGGAGAAGACTGGGATCGAAAATTAACGCCTCTTTTGAAAATTCTTTTGGAGCGCGGGGGAAGTGGAGAGCGCGGCGTGCGTGAAAGTGGTTTTAACGGATCTTCGTAATTCCTGTTCCCGTGTACCTGAAGCGATCAATTTTGGTAAGAGTACAGGCGGCAGGATGGAAACCCTGAGAGTAGGTAGCCGGACTCGGCCCCCCTCCCCAAGCGGGACATGCACGAAAATAGCTGACTCAGAGTACAGCGCTCAAATTTATAAGGGATGCAAGCTTTGGTTGAGAGTACTGATGTTAGGTGACGAGACTGGACGCCATTTACTGGAGGTGGGCGTGTGAAAAATTGCTCCTCAAAGCTAGTGTGTTCAAATTTGAAAGGGATAGAAACCGGCGGCGAGACCGGCTGCGGGGAGAGGTAGAAGCCGGCGATCCTGTTCAGAAACCTTCCCAATTATGCGTGCAATTAATTCACATCTTTACTCCTTCCTAACATGAGGGAGTCAACATGAGAGAGTGTCATGAGACGTACGCTGTAAGGATGTTGGCTGATATATCGAATTGCTATACCTATCTGTTGTGAATTGACCGATAAGAGGCCACTTTGTTCCCTTTAGGGGCACAGTGTTCCCACTCTGAAGAAGATGAAGTGATGTGGAGGGAATATACAATTAAATGCTAGAATGTAACTAGGAGAATTAAAGTGGAGGAATGTAGCTGTAAACGCAGCAATCGATAATGGTAACGATTTTGACTAACTTCGATTTTTTCACGATATGTACTCAATACTCATTTTTCCGAGAATAAAAGGTAAGAAGTGATGATAGGCCTATGCCTGTTGGATCCGGTGTGTGTGTTGGTGTGTGTGTCAGTTTATCTATAACTGGGAACTTATAATTCCTGTTCCCGTTAACCTGGAGCATTCAAATTGGGTGGGAGTACGAGTGGCATGATGTAAACACTGCAGCTACTATGAAATCTCACCATCCCTTGAAATGAATCGAACTTTCGACTGAGATGACCGAATGTGTACAGTAGTGATATTTACATTTTTATATTTTCGTATACAGATCAAGTTGGTCGGGCAAAAATCGAGTGCAACCGCAACAACATCGGTCATCGCTTTGTTTAAGTTTCTCTTAATCACGTGTTCCCTATTGAGGTCGTGAACATCGACCATTTACTAATGCAGTGCTTCTCCAAATGATACAGCCACCCCTAATTTCCTCAAAAACTCACAGTATACGATGTTTCTGAAAAAGTGCCGAAGTAAAAAAGGCGTCAAATCAGAGTTGCCACTCGCACATTATCACCAATTTCCAGCTTGAGAACAAAAACATTTTTCGTCGTCATTTTTTCAGTGAAGGGTTTGTTTATGTAATCTTCTCATTTTCAGGCAATCAAAATTGCGTTGTTTATGTAATGTTCTTCATTCAGGCAATGGGGAGAGGAACGTTGCTTTTGGAATTCGAGAAAGGACAAAGCCTCGCAAAAAAGGAGCAGGGACTGTCGAATGGCAGAATCGCGTGAGATTTGTGTCGATGTCACGCAGTTGTGGATAACTTCATCAGGAATCCTGAAGAATATGGAACCAGAAGAAGTGCTAAAGGTCCTTTGCTCTTTTCCGACAGAGACAAGCGCCGTATTTTGAGGGAAGTGTCGAAGTCCACCAAGTCCTGCATGGAAATCCGATCGTCCCTGAGCCTCAATGTCCTTAAAAAAAGAGGATCAGAAAGTCCAAGCTCGTCAAGTGAAAAGTGCGTTAGACGCCTTTCATGACAAAAAGACGTTGACATAATCGGGTCGCTTTCGCAGAAGGTGCGGCCAAATCGAGTGGTATGCGGTGTTCCTCGTGTGCTGACATTTGACCTTCATTCTCTTAATGACTTTTATTCTTCGGGTTGTTTTTCCGATGAAAAGAAGTTCAAGTGTGATGATCCAGACGGGAACTGATTTTATTGGCACGACCTGAGGAAGGAAAATCATCAGTTTCCTGGACGGAACTTCGAGGGAGGAGCAGACATGGTTTGGGCCGCGACTTCATCGGGTAGTCATATCTGTATATGTTTTGTAGCAAAGAGCATGAACTCGTCCTTTTGTCGAACTGTTATGCGCCGTGCACTTCTCCCTTTCTGGAGCCAGAATAAGCACCGAAATCTTGGTTTTTATGCAAGGTAACGCCTCAATTCACATCAGCAAGAGCACCCAAGCTTGGTTCTCTCGGCATCGGATTGCATTCCTGCCCTGGCCGGCGAACAGCCCCGATTCGAATCCGATGTGAAATGTATGGGGCTTCATGTTACGAAAGATCTACCTCAAAACAAGCAATTCCGAGGCCTCAGTGAGTTGAAAAAGCAATCATCGAAGCATGGCACAAAGTTGACCAGGAGCTGGTTGATAGTCTTTATTCGAGCCTGGACCACTGTATCTTAATATGCATTCGGAGGAATGGTGGACCAACTAATTATTGACATTGCAGCTTTTTCTCCTTGTATGTTTGTTGTTGAATAAATTCATTTCAAAACCAAGCAGGCCATAACACGTAAAATGTTTAGGTCAGCGAAAATGGTTTCATCAGGTGATCGCGAGGTGGCAGAATCGGTAGAGCTCGCTCGAGAGGTGGCCATCACTAATGGGTATCCCTTGAAAGGACAATTCCTTCGCAGACCCCCACGTAGCAGACCACACGGACATACTGTCGAAAGTTTGGAGAAGGTGACCTTTTGCCTTCCCTTCGTATCAGACTCGGTCAGCTCTGACGTAAGAACAGCTCTGCGCAAGTGTGGCCTTGATGACATGGTGCGGGTGGTCGAAGTTCCTCTTACCAATCTCAGGAAAAAGCTGGTTCAAAATCGTTTGTATGACCGTCTCTGCATAACCCCCCACTGTGTCATCTGTCCCAGCGGGCGAGAGGGGGACTGCATGGCTTCAGGGGTGATCTATTTGATCACTTGGGAGGCCTGCGGGGACGAATACATAGGTGAGACCGGGCGGCCTTTAGTATGTAGGATCAAGGAACACCTAGCTGGTCTGAAGAATCCAAGGCCTGAAACCCCCCTCGGAGACCATCGTAGGAATCGCCACAGAGGGGTAGAGTTTGAAGTCTCAGTCAGGATTTTGATGCGGGAGCCCACGACCTCCGCGCGTAAAACTTTGGAAGCGTTTTGGATCCGCGCAAAAGAGCCCAAAATTAACCGGAAAGACGAATGCCTGGCCATAACAAGTGAACTCGCCCCGTTCATCGACCTGTGTGGGCTACAATTGCCACCGGCTTCAAGTCGGGGGTCAGCTCACCCGGGGCCCACCCACTGCGAAAATGTTTAAATAGGCAGTTTGAAAGGTGGTCTACATGTCGTCTCCTCTATTTCTAAGGTGGGTTCCCTTGTTGTGGTTCACGAGACCTATTCAGATGTCTGTAGGTTTACTTGGGCTAACTGAAGTCTGAAATGGTGCATGAGTTGGATGAATCTCAAATTCTTTTTGGCTTCCAGGTCCTGACGAAGGCGGTAACGCCGAAACATTGACTGAATAGAGTGCTGTACCATCTTGGCTGAGGCTATACCACACACCTTCATACCTAAATTCATTTCGTTAGTGGCTGCATCATGGAGATGTCGGAAAAGCTTCTTTTACTGAAAAAACGACCAAAAAATGTTTGTTTCCGAGCTCTAATTTGGTGAGAATCAGTGGATTGCAGTTGAGATTCGACACATTTTTTACCTTGGCATTTTTTCAGGAACATCGTAAACTGTGAGTTTCTGAGAAAGTCAGAGGTGGCTGTATCAATTGGAGTTGCGCTGTAAATCTTGCATTGATAGTACATTTGTACGCCGCTTACAAAGGCAAGGAAGAAAATTGTTCAAACAGTTCGAATCACAAGCGGATGCAGAGGATGCAAAGAGACACAGCAGGAGGCAGCATTACATCTTCAAGAGATTGAAGGCACAGTTCGCGATAGGAACGGTTTCTGCGATTCTTTCTTTGGATGAAGCAGTGACCCCCAAGGATAGCACAAGGGAGGCTGTCGCGTCGAAAAACGATCTGGATAGGGCGCATTAGGGTCCCAGAACCGGCTCAGCCGACGTGCACGCCCAAAGGCTGATGATTTCTTATGGCGTTGCAAAGGCTGTAGAGATTGCGCTTTTCGCTTCAGAGTGCACGCACATTGCCCATAGGCAGTTTACGGTAGACGGCTGAGCGCAATGGCACACACATTTGGACAGCTCGTCCAAGCACACCTTCCAAGCAGCTTTGTCGTCCCCTTCTCGCCCAACGCCTGAATTCAGAAATATTTCTGAGTCTTTACATTTTCTTAGGGTGGAGGTGGTGTAATGGCAAGTGACGCACTATATCGCACACACGGTCGCGGGTTCGAGTCTCCGATCGATATTCGTCTGGGCAAACCAGGTCTTCCACCCCTCCGCGGTCGCTTAATTGGTACCAGACTGGTCTGGAAAGATGAAAACACTGACTTGTACATCGGCTAGCCACCGCAAGTCATTGTATAGGTTACATATGCATTCAATCCGCCACTACGATTTTGAATGGAAGTCGAATGCGGGGGCCGCATCCATCATATGGGATTGATTGACACCAAAAGCTTTAAGACTTTAAGACGTTATGTTTCCTTAATTATGCTCTCTCGTTCTCCCCACGTTCACACAATTCTGGACTATCGCTTCCATCACTAGTCCAAAACCAGATACACCAAAATTATCGTGACTGGGTTGCCAATTTAAGGTAAAACCCCAGAGAGTAAAGAAAACCACAAAACAGTATCAAAACAAAATTACGAAGCTACCGGTTACAGACAAAGGATTTGAGCAAGAATCGATCAGTCAGGAAACTGAAATTGAAAAAGAATTCTAATAAGATCTCGATTGCGGGTGATGCAAATAAGTGCGGATAATGAACAAAGCACTGAATTACTAAAGCACATACAGCAACAACCGTGGAAGTCTACGAAAGCTATCAGGAGAACTAGTGGTGTACGGTGGCCTTTTAACGAACACTGAAAAGCTCAGGCACTGCAATTTCTAGAAACTTGCTTCATAACGACTACAA